TTATGACAAGTATCCAGGTGAAATATGCGGTCGTTAATGGCTGAGAGCCAGGTGGGAGACACAGGTACTTAACACACTTATGTACCTGTATGTACAACATGATAAGGATTTGGGGTACATATCTGCGTGTTTTACTAATGAACACAGGTTGGTATATGTATATGCAAAACGACACTTACCTGTGGGCCACAGGTGTAAATTTATCTGTATTGATAGACAGATCTTGTTTTGGACAGTGCTATTTGTTATTACCTTATGAATTACAAACAAGACCCTGTGTTGTAGTATCTGTTAAGCCAGGGTGACCTGTCATTGAAATGCCATGGAATCTATTCAGTGTATCAATTGTTACATGTAACTTTATTCATGATAGAGTATAAAATTGTGCTTAATTTGCGTCTTGAAATAATCTGACTGTTTCTGTAATGTTGTCGTCATAACGGTTTCATTTTGTTATTGTAATACAGTAGTTATAGGGTAAAACAATAACATGAAATGTCATTGTCATAAACTACTTACTGTAGAAACATGCTGAGGGGTTAATGTCCATCAGAAATTTCCGCAGTTATAAACTTTTTGTTTGTTTCACAACAATGATGAAACAAGTTGTTTGAACTTATATTAATCACATGTTGATGGCCCGGCCCCCCAGATGTTAGCACACGGGGGTGGGGGGGTGGGGGTCTTAATGTGGGAGGAAACCGCAGTACCCGGAGAAAACCCACGTGGTTGGGCAGGTGACCCCATACCTTTTCATGTCCGATCAGGGAATCAAACCCCGGCCGCCTTGGTAAATTTAGACAAATGAGCTTTTTCCACTGAACCACCCAACCACCCAACCACCCATGATTTCAGTGGTTGACCCCTATGTCAGATGCCATCATGTTTTTGTCACAGTGCAGTCATTAATATATAAGGAGTAGAAAGATAATACCATTGATGTCTGTTCGAAATGGCGCCATATTCATTTCCCCACCCCACCCCACCCCACCCAACCCCAGGCTACTGTTAACCAGCATCTGAAGGGAACAGGGATTTAAAGTCAATAAAGACAAGGGCTGGTTTGAATACTAAAAGGATATTTACTGTGTGTCTTATAAACTAAAAACAGTTAATATAGTATGAGTAGTAACATAAACCGACAGACATATTTTACACTCCAAACTTCTTGTGTTCATTTACACGTTGCAATTACATTTCTTAGAGTTTTAAACTTTCTGTCAATATTGTACATCAAACTTTATTATTTGGTCAACATTCGTTCAACAAAAGTTGGGAATAGAAGGGTGGGGGAGGGTGACCTTGGAATACATTGATTGTAAATAAAACAAGATTTTACTGAATAAAATTGTATCCATGAAAATGTTTGCCCATATTTACATGTTTGATGATAAACATCAGAAACCAGCCTTAAACAAACTTTGTAATATTGACTAACTATTCCATTTCCCCCGGCTATTAATTAATACAAGGCAAATTGGAGAACATCTCAACAACTAGAACGAAGCAATATACCAAGGCACTGTTAGTTTCAAACACAATAAATTAAATAAAGTTTTGCTTAATATTATTAAAATTCATAAAATGTGTAAACAAATGAAATTTAGAATACTTAACAAAAATTGAAATCAAACTATTAGTTGACTATTTTTGAGATTATTTAAGGAATAAAAATGTTTTGAAAGTTTGAGTTAGATGATAATAAGTTGACAAGACTTTTTAGGCTGTTTGATGAAGTCTCTGCATGAGTAAGTCTGCTGCAGAAAGAGATTCATTTTATCAAAATACAAGTCAAATATTTTGATATGTTAAGAAGTTTGAAGAACTTAATTACAATTTAAGCTTGTATGTGTATACATCGTTTATAGTCGTTGGTAAATGTAGCCGCTGTGCATCTTTTTAAACAAAACTGAAGATGACCAATCTTTTGAGAAGGTTGATAAAGTTTAACTTGAGTAAGTTTTATACGGAGGGAGACATTTACAGAATTAATAATATAGGAGCGTGGTGTTTACACTACTGAGAATATATAGTTTATTTTCATGTTCTGCGAGAGGCGGTGTACTTTGGTCTCTTATTTTATTGTGTATGTCGAATCGTATGGGCAGTGGATTTAAAGGACGGAGTATATTATGTAACGAGTTAGATTATAATAATAGTTTGGTGTCTAGATAAGTGACAGGTCTAGAAAGCTGTTACATGCACAATATTGACTCATGTTACTTAAGGATGTATGCTATCTTCTATGAAATGTACCTCCTCCCAGAAGAGTTCTACATTATAAAAAAATATGTAAAAATATCCTTAATGAATGAAAATTTGAACTTTTTAAAAATGAATAATTTGTAAATCAACACCACATTTCAAATATTAGACATTGCTAAGAAGAAATATAGAATTTCGTATGTACTTACAGCACCTACCATGGAGTGATATATCTTTACTTCATTATACCAATTATCTTAAACATATTCAGGCAAGCTATACAGGCCCTCTGTGCCTCTTGTATAGATTAACTGTTGTAAAGGAGGTGGATGTCACCATCAGCTATCCTGTGAGTGATTAGATGATTTAACTTTACAGACTGGTACAAAGGGCCTTCTATATTCTAGGAGAGTATGGACCTGTAGTACTTACGACTGACTACAGTTTATGTCAGTATCACACTGTATAATATTTAGGTTTGATATTTCCGCTGTGTACGTCCTGTATCAGCTGTTGTGGTCACTAATGATTCATTCGAGAAATCTCCTATTAAGGCTGCCATTGATTATACAAGCATGTGGCCATTGATTATCCTCGGTTACTGTCGTATATATACTCTTTGTGTTAACAAGTANTTGTCAAGTTCTCTGAGCAACCTGTTCGTTTTTCCAAGACATTTTGTCAATATTACATACATTCATTTATTCATGTAAAAATATACTAAGTTGTCAGATTCAAAAAATAAATAAACGATCACGGAATAGACGAACAAGGGGTGATACAATTTCAAAGTGATAGGCATACAATGCAATTTTCTACATTGTAATTTATATACATAACTGAGACATATATATATATATATCAAGACAATTCCTTAAATAATTTAAACAGAATATACCTAACTATCGCAACGGAATATTTTCAACTCATTTTGAAGTTGATCATGTACATATTAAGTAATTACATCTTTACTAGAAAATTATAATGTTCTATAAAGAAAAAAAAGTAAATTATAGGATCTTTCAGGATTGGATAAAAAAAATCTGAGCCAAAATGATCTTATTTCAGCTTTAAAAAGCATAGAAACATTCCTTTCAAAATTTAACGTGATGTCCACTACAGATTGGTTTTGTTAAATAACTTTCACTGTTCAGTTTCCAACCATGAAACATCTTTTTTTCGTTGGCTTATTGCAAAATTATGCTTGCTCCTTGAAATATTTTAGTGAGGTTAAGCTAAGTGGGGGGATATTGCTTTTCACAAGTTGTTTAAAAAATTATATTAAAATTTCTGTGTTGAGAGCTTCTGGAAGACATCACTTCTGATTGAAGAAATGTATTTTTAATAATGAAATATAATGCTGTGTTTTGGGCACCACTTGCTTCAACCAGGTCAAACTTGTATTAGAATCATTCCTAACACAAACATCAATTACCCCCCAACCTTGGGCGATCAAGATCAGGATTATTTATTTTTATTCATTTCATATTTTTATGTGCAGTATTAAAAACATTTTGCTAAATTTTGATAACAATATCAAGTGGATTTTAATTAACGAGATTTATGTTATTTTAAGAATAAGTGAAATATTTCTGTCAAACTGTTGACCTTAAAAACGGACACTTTTATTTGCACTGTTACTTAAGGTGGTATGTTGTCTTTGTCCTTTTGATTTGTGATAGAGTTATCTCCCTTACCTTTTTTTTTCTGATCAGTTAAAATTACCTGAATGTAATTGAAGTAATGCTTTCTTGTATACATTTCAAATGTGACATCATTAAATTATTCAAGTCCAAATTATGTTTTCAAAAATGTTTTACAGATTTTCTGACTGTTGAACAATATTATCTACAGAAGATAAGATCACATCTATATGTCACACCTCAATCGTTAATGCACATTACAGGTTGAGGCAATTGCTTTCAATGAAATATCTTACAAAATTTTCTATATACGATTTTCTTCAAAAGAAAAACATTCAATAGATACATATATTCAGGAAAAAATTCAACTAAAGCTTGAAGCTTGAAGGAACTTAAGTGAGCATTGGAGCTCAATGAGCATTGCAACTTATGCTTTAAGGAACATATGAGAAATTGAGGCTACAAGCTATTTATAACTTATCAGTAGTTATATAGATCTGAGGAACTGATACATGTATTAGAAATTGCAGCCAGAAAGTTAATTGTAAATTAAGCTTGAAGGAACATATGTAGAAATTGAGCCTGAAAGTAACTTGTATGGTTTCAGGTGGTGATAATTGGTAAGGTAGAACTGACATAATTTCTATGGAAACCTTTTATCAAATGTGCTAATCCACAGGAGGTAAAAAGGAAAGTTAAATCCATGATTTTTGTTGGTGAGAAAAGTGTAGAAAACAGGCAGAATTGATGTTGAAACAGTTGTGTACAGAAAAATAGCAACATTGAAGGTGTTCAACTAAATCAGTGGTTTTCTCATTTGTCCTGTTTTGAGACCCAAGTCATAGCTTTGTGCCTCTTCATTGTTAATTGATCTTCCCATACTTAAAGTGGAGTTTTATTTTAAAAATGAGAAAATTTTATTTATTTTGTTGTGGTAGTTGCTATACCCAATTAGAAAGTGGTAGTTTTGAAAATTGATGAAGAAAATATTAATTGTGTTGTTGATGAAATGTGCTTCATTCTTTCATAGACAGCCATTACCATAATGGTCTATTGTCAATGGCAAGTAATAAGTAAAGTGCGAGTGGCAGTAAATTATTTTGAGGACTACTGCTAGAGGACAGGAGGACTAAAGGTGTGTGATCCACTTACATTACAATGTTAGTGTCCAATAAGTATGATCCCTTGACCTGGGGCCTGTACTCTTGACCAGTATGTGTCCTTTACGTTGACCTTGATTTGACCTTGGGGTAGTGACCATAGGCTATCAAGTTGGCCTGACTTGTCAAGTAGGTCCTCTGGTCTTCTGTTCTCACTGCCAAATTTCCGAGCACCAGGTCCCCAAACTATTTTCAGATTATATCTGTAAGAAAAAATATAGATTTTTATGTAATTAACAACTACAGGAAAGAAACCCAGAGTAACATGTATGTGCAATCAGAAAACCTGTACAACTTGGATTTTCAACTAGGGGGCTCTGTATATATATTTCTTAATGTAGAGTTGGAACTTAAAATAAGAAAACCTGTAAAATTAGATATTTAACTAGGGCTCTATGTGTGCAGTATAAACCAGACCTTCAAATAGGGACTTTTATATGGAATTCTCTATATAGTCAACATGTGTAATAAAACCCCTGTATAAACCAGACCTTCAAATAGGGACTTTTATATGGAATTCTCTATATAGTTAACCTGAGTAATAAAACCCTGTATAAACCAGACTTTCATCTACGGCTCTCTGTATACAATTCTCTGTAGAGTTAACTTGAGTTTTTATAAAGGGGACCTTTAACTATAGATTCCTTCACATCAATTTCCATCTATATTTAACCAGTATAGTTCAGAAAGCTGTGTACATTTCTGTTTAATTTGAAGAAAAAAAAAACATTTATTAATTTTAGTGATGGATTACTTTCATATAAAGAGAGGTTAGCTTTAAACATGGTCAATTTAAAAAAAAAAATGAAAAATGAAAAATAATTAGACGGATCTAAATTTGTGAAATTGATTTGAAAATATTCAAAATTTCTAAATTTTTATTAGTTCAAGGTTGTTCACAATGCTATTTGGAGCAGAATGTCACAAATTTATTAAGTTTTGAAAAAAAAGTAACATTGAATGTGAAGAACTCCAGATTTTGGGAGTAATTCTTTATGGCAGCATTATAGAAACAGATGGAAGTCATTCATTCTGGGAGACCGCTCCTCCAGTTGGTGACAAGTGTATTCACATGTATCAAAAATGAATTAATCTGTAACGGGTTTTTTAAGTCATTGCCCTAAGCCAGAAAATACACATCTGAAAACATTCTTGAGGGAGACAAAAACGTGTCAGAATTGTTGTAAGAAGGTCTTTAATTTAAAGGGTTGCCGTTTTGCGATAAGTGTTATCATGATCAGGTGGGCTACTTTTACGTAAAGTGTCTAAGACTGCCTGGACTGTGTATAATATTGGTCGGATAATGAGAAGCCTTAGAGAAGTGTACTATTGAAGTTAAACAAACACCTGGAAAAAGCCGGTGTTTACCTGTCGCATATGTGTGTGTCAGCCACGTGTTGACATAAGGAGAATTACTTGTGAGGTTTTTCCTGAGGACAGGTAGTCGACTGTATTAGCCAAGCTTTCGCACCGAGGTACAGGCTGTGAAGCTGTGGTGGAGTAGACTTCTACTTCTATGGCAAGTGTTGACATACGAATTACAAATAACTGGAACCAACAAGTCAAAGGTCACCCTTTAGAGTCACCATATCTCGTATTGATGTCAGACGACTTTAGCGTAAATCGGTTGGACAGTACGAGGGTGGAAAAACATATGTGTGACCATTTCTCATCATCAAAGTGTTCCAAGTGTTCCGACGTCAGTGGTCATTTCTTTGGGATTAAGTCGCTTATTCTTCCACAAATGGTTAGTATTTGTGTATATGTAATCGTGGCTGTGTTGACTTTGTGTAACGTGAATAGTGTTAAATCTATACCACTGGGATCAATTGTTTCCTGGGGTCATCCTGAGGTCACATGGTGCTAATGTTATGTCAGTATAAGCTATGTTATACTAGTTATACAAGGTCTACTGTAGGAGAAAGGTCAATTATATAAACTACAGTGTATATTATCAAATGACAATTAGGAACTTTATAAACCTGCAGTATCTAAACACAAATATCTTGTGACACATTCAAACATTAAATGTGAAATTCTTTGAAAGGATTTGTGTTGTGGATATTTTCTAATCAGAAACCCCAATATAAGCTACAGTTTATTTAACTGTAACAAGTGATCTGATTAAATCATAGATTTACGATATGCATGTGCTAAATTAAGCATCTTATTTTTTTTAGTTCTTTTGACATTTTTCTAAATATTGTTTTTGATTCAGGCTTGATATTAAACTAATGATATACATGTCAAAATTTTCTAGTTCAGTTTTTTGAAAAACACTTTCAGAAATATGTTTTATATGTGTATTACATCAGGGTGAATGGTTTAAATAACAGGACATGTAAAGTTTGAATATCTCATTTGCCTAATGAAGCTGGATTTAAAGAGTTAAAGAAGGCATATATAAGATAGGGTATTTATATTAGACCTTGTTATACTGCTACAATTGTACAGTATAATTTTGTTATACTGTCACCATTATACAGTTAAAACCTTGTTATATTGTCACCATTATACAGTAAAACCCTGTTATACTGTCACCATTATACAGTAAAACCTTGTTATACTGTCATCATTACACAGTAAAACCTTGTTATACTGTCACCATTATACAGTAAAACCTCGTTATACTGCCATCGTTATACAGTAAAACCCTGTTATACTGTCACCATTATACAGTAAAACCTTGTTATACTGCCACCATTGTACAGTAAAACCTTGTTATACTGCCACCATTATACAGTAAAACCTTGTTTTACTGCCATTGTATATAGTAAAAAACATCATTATATTGCCACCACTATTCAGTAAAAGTTTGTTTAGCAAAAACAATTAAAACAAATTATTTCTTTGTTAATATATTTTATAAGAAATTCATATTTTAGTTATTACTGGATTTTGATTCAGGAGTTAACTCCCTTTTATCATAGCCAGTACAGCGTTTGAATGGCACTGATTATTCTACATTCTCAGTGAATCTAGCTGGCACCATTTACTGAAAAAAATAGGTTGCCAGCATTTCTTTTAGAAGATGGGGAAAATGTGTGTGCTGAATTAAATTTTGTTCTTACTTGTGAAAAATAATTACCAAATTGGTTTCAATTGTTAATTGATAAAACTTACAATTCTTTTTCTGCTAGCTCTCACATACTTGTACTACTTTAGGTCGTGACATTTCTGCTCTCACATACTTGTACTACTTTAGGTCTTGACATTTCTGCAGTCTGACAATTGAATGGAAAGGTCTTATTGCTTTCCATTTTGGATATAAATGACTGATTTCCAAATATGTATTTGTCCATGCTGAGTGTTGATACGTTTCCTTAAATAGTTTTACAAAAATATGGATTTTCTGAACCAAAATTTCTATTGTAACAAATGTATATGATTTTTTTGCACAGCGTGTGTGTCTATTATTGAACAATAGATTAGGTTTGTGAGAAAAAAGTGGTATCAAACTGTAAGCAAGTCTCGCTAAACTCCCGGAGGCTGGTTTCGTTACGCCAATCTGTGTAGGTGTCTGCGCTTTATGGTATGGATTTATAAGTTTTTCTCCTAGATTTTACCACAGTTATGGCATTCTATGATCTCCGTAGAAATATATGGTGTATTCTAATCAATGTTCGCCAATAATGAGGAAAGCTATCTGGCACAACAGTGTGGTTTCCTTATCAATCTGGTGAAGCCCTACACTGTGGTCAATGTCCTGTCGTTCGGTGTAACTTATAACGCATCAGTCAGTGTAAAAATGGTTTTATAATGGCAAACCCTACCTGTCGGTGTAAAAAAATCAATTTGCCTAACACCATGTGTGAAATTAAATGTGCAGACGTTGAATCGAAACTGGTTGTATTGTCATTATTGGGAATCATAATTCTGAAAAGCTAAGTGTGAATTCTCTGTGGCAGCAAAAAAAGTAGATCCATCGAAAATGTATTTCAATTCTGATTATTAGGAGCGCTCGTTATATTACAAATGTAACACTGGGCAAAATGAGTCCAGCAAATTACGATTTTTGTGTAAATCTGACATGTCGAACCAAATAACAATCAAATTCATAATACCTTACCCGTCTTATTAAAAGATATTCTTTCATCTTTGATAACTTATGCATTTGGAAAGTATTAAAACTTATTGAAAAAGAAGAGGCTTGTGTTGCAAATTTATTTTGGCATGTGTGGGGTCGTTTCAGAGTGTTAATTGGAAGCTTTTGAAGACAGTGAGATAGGGAGTTGGCATTAATTCCTTCATATTGATAGTGTCAATATTATTTAGAATACATTATACATAATGTGCTCTCATTTCTCAAAAAGATTATTATACCTCACTCCTGTAATGTTTGGAAGAAAATGTCCAATATAAAATTCTTTTATCTTGTGAGCTGCAAGGTAAATATTTGGAAAATGTTAAAGTAGATTATTAATGCTTGCTGTTTAATGGAAATTAAAACATTAATGCTTGCTGTTTAATGGAAATTAAAATTCTCTACTTCAAATATATATAAATTGATTATTTGTTCATGTTGATAGCCACAACATGCTTTTAAAAAGATTGCAAATGGCTGAGAAAAAAGATGAATATATTAAATATCATTAAAAAATCAGATAAACAAAATTTGTAAACGTCAATAAAAAATAAAATACATATGAAAATGTACATTGTTCAAAACAGAATTTTGCAGGTGATGTATCTTTTGACATGCACTAATGAAGGGACTTTCATAGTTGTTTGGCTTCCAGATCCTTTAAGAAATACTTGGAAGAACACAAGATGTATACAAATTAGATTGATTGGATGAAATAAGACATTCCAATCTGTTTTTTGTCTTCATATTGTAGTAACATATAGCTTACAAACATCATTCTGACCAACCATATGAGTCTTCAAAGTGCTTGAGGGTTAAAGGTAAAAAAAACAACAATGACATTACTATGAAATGGATCTAGAAAAACTGTTACTAGGTTATTTAAGCCCATGTCACCTGCATAAACTTATATAATTAATGAACAGACCTCTTGAGTTATTTTAAAATGATGGTGAGAGAGCACTATGTTGACCAATCATAATCTGTGTGGTCACTGCCTTGGCATATCCCTTTATACTCTGGCACCTGTTTTTAAACTTTCTGCAATGGCTAGTAGATCTTTAAAGTTAATGGTAAGTTGTTGATTCATTGGGCGCAGGACAAAGACTATACTGAGAA